AAAGGATAATGGCAGGCTGCCGATCTCTGCAACATACCATTCGATCTTTTTGCTTTGCTGGTTTGCATATAATCATGTATAATTTGACTAGTGCTATACTCACTTTTATATTCATGCAGATTATTAGCATACACCCATATATATGTATATATGTACGTGTGTATGTATATCCTTCAACTTTATGTAATACTAGTCTTTCCAACCGAGCCATGCGCTTCTCGATTCATTTATATATATCCGTTTAGCTTTATTTTGATCAATTTTAATTTTAGATTTATTAAAAGTTTATTTATTAACATTAAAATTTATTAGCTATAAATAAATATTACAAAACTAAACATAAAATTACAAACCATATAAATAAATATTATAATATAAAGTTTCATAAGAAATTAAAAAATTAATAAAATTTACAATATGGTATTTTAATTCCATACAAAGTTTTTATGTAAGATATTTTTTATTATTTTAAATATTTTTGGAATCTTTTAGTCGAATAATAGATGAATGTATAAATAAATTCAATCAAAATTTTGGATTTGAATAAAAATATTAAATTAAAATATAATTAACAAAGAATATGGAGTTGTAAGAAACACATACAAATTAAAGCAAGGCCATTTTTAAATTACAAACCATGTAAATAAAATAGAAATATAATTTCCAATTAAAACCAAATAAACCATTTAAGTTCCAAAGAAAATTAAATTAAAATATGAAAATTAATATTGAGAAAATATAATTTTTTATTTTAAAAATTATTATATACTGATAGTAATTTTTTTTTTTAGTATTAGATAAGTAAAATTAAAATTTTAATTTATTAATATATTTATGATATTATAAATTTAAAGTAGGCTGACTTTTTTAATAAAAAATATATTATTTAATAATTAAATTCTCTTTATTTGAATAAGTAAATAACATTATATCTCTAAATTTACATCATCTTTTAACAGTCAATTAATATTACCTACCCTTCACGTCATCTATTATTTCACCCTTTTTAAATTTTAAGATAATATGAAAAAGTTTTTACTGTCGAAATAAAAATAAAATAAAATAACATTTAAACTTTATTAATTAAATTACTATTGACATTAAATATTTCTTTTTTTTTTTGTATAATTTAAATTAATATAAGATTCTAAACTATTTTTGCTACTTTTGATAAGCTTTACACACACATATATATATATATACAGACCTCCCATACGTACATTTCTAATCCAGACTCAATATAGACCAGAGGCATCCAGTCAAGGAAGGCTGCTGAAAGAAAGTAGCAGACGAGGAATGGAAGAGAGTGATTATGTGCCTCTTTTCGAAACGAAACCAGTCAGGGGACGTCTCCTCTACCGTCTGTACACTTGTTCAATCTTTTTAGCTATCTGCTCGATCTTCTTCTACAGAGTGAGCTACTTTCCAGCGGACGGGGGAGCTCGAAGAATAGCGTGGATTGGATTGTTTCTTTCAGAAATTTGGTTCACTTGTTACTGGTTTATCACAGTCATCGTCAGATGGAATCCTGTTCATCGTTACACTTTCAAAGACAGACTCTCTTGCAGGTAACTTTGTGTTAATTTCTTGTAGCGGCCTGTACTCCTGTTTTGATCCATTTCTTTTTCTTTTTTAAAATTTTAAATCCTCTCTTGCAGGTCAATTTGCGTTTGTTTCTTGTAGCTACTATCCTGGCCTGTACTCCTGTTTCTTTCATTTCTGTGTTTTCAAATTTTAATCAGTTAATCAGTTGAATCTATTTTTGTTTGAAATTTTGAAGGTGCGAGAAGTTTTTACCAGGTGTAGACGTGTTTGTTTGCACGGCGGATCCGACAATAGAGCCGCCGGTGATGGTGATGAACACGGTTTTATCAATCATGGCTTATGATTACCCGGCGGAGAAGCTGAGTGTGTATTTATCTGATGACGGGGGTTCATATTTAACCTTCTACGCCTTGTTAGAAGCCTCGCGTTTTGCGAAGCATTGGTTGCCGTTTTGCAGGAAATTCGGCGTTGAACCGAGATCACCGGAGGCTTATTTTCAGACAGCAATTGGACCGGTTGAGGATAATGAGTGGTGTTCAATCAAGGTGACGAGTTAATTATTGTTTTCTCCTTTTCCAGTAATTATTATCATCAGATTCAGAGTACTTCCAAAATTGAATTATTGCATTTTTAATTGAATTATCATACCATGATAAACTAATATGGATTTAAATGTAGAGATTATATGAAGAGATGAAGGAAAGAATTGAAACTGCCACGAAACTCGGTCGAATTCCAGAAGAAATTCGAAAACAACACAAAGGATTCCGCGAATGGGACTTCGTTTCTAGTCGTCATGATCATCAGACCATTCTTCAAGTACATTTTCCTCATTACTACTTCAGAGATTTTCGCAACTTAAGTTTTCAGCTCAGTTAAAATGGTGTAATATGAAATTTCTCTCTTAGATTCTGGTCGATGAAAGAGACAGTGAAGCTGTTGATGTTGAAGGTCAAGGTCTACCAACTCTGGTGTACTTGGCGCGCGAGAAGCGGCCTGACTATCACCACAATTTCAAAGCAGGAGCCATGAACGCACTGGTAAGAATTTGTAAAAAATTATTTAATTAGTTTAGTTGTAATTTGATCTTTCATTTTATTTTATTAAATACAGATAAGGGTGTCATCAATGATAAGCAATGGTGAAATTATTCTTAATGTTGACTGTGACATGTACTCGAACAATTCGGAGATTGTGAGAGATGCTTTGTGCTTTTTCATGGATGAGGAGAAGGGAAATGAGATTGGTTTCGTACAGTATCCCCAGACATTCTACAATCTTACAGACAATGATATTTATGGAGTTTCATTGAGTGTGGAAACTCTGGTGAGCCTCCATTTCAAATTTTCATTTTCAAGTAGGAAAACCCTTTTACAATTATTTAATCGTGTTAAATCAAGACAGATTCTCTATGCTTCTTTAATTGGGAAGGATGCAAATTTCCTCAGAAATGATGAAAATTGAAATCTTAGACAGACATCAAGAGGAATAGGGAGAATATATTTCAAATTTCATTACAATAATCTGTTTCAACTGCAGAAATTGATTGTTGGGTTTATTAGTTTTTGTTTGATACCATGTTGGATATATGTATAACGTAGGTGGAGTTTCCCGGAATTGATGCCAATGGAGGACCTTGCTACATTGGTACTGGATGCTTTCACAGGAGAGAAGCTCTTTGTGGGAAGAAATACAGCAAGGACTATAAGGTAGACTGGAAGAGAACAAATCTAACAAAGAATGAGAATTACAGAACAAGTTTCTCTGAAGAAACATGCAAAGTTCTTGCAAGTTGTACCTACGAACACAACACGAACTGGGGAAAAGAGGTCTATCCATCCATCTCTCTCGCTCTGTCTCTCTTTAATTTCTGAATTCGAAACACAAAAACATATTACATGGAATGCCGATTTCTTATATACGATGAATATGGTAATTCAATGTAGATGGGTCTAAAATATGGCTGTCCGGTGGAGGATATAATCACAGGGCTATCATTACAATGCAGAGGATGGAGATCAGCGTACTCCATTCCTAAAAGAGCTGGTTTCCTTGGTGTTGCACCTACAACATTGTTGCAGTTTTTGGTACAACACAAGAGGTGGTCTGAGGGTGATTTACAGATTTTTCTCTCACGCTACTGTCCTTTCATTTATGGACATAAAAAAATCCCCCTCAAGCTGCAAATTTCTTACTGTATTTACTTGCTCTGGGCTGCAAATTCCTTGCCAACCTTCTTCTATGTCACTGTCCCATCACTTAGCTTGCTTAGAGGCATCTCCTTGTTCCCAGAGGTAATAAATCTTCCTCTCACTTCATTTTGAATATTGATTCTCGTCGGTGAGACATGGTAAAATCAAACAAGCAAATGATCAAGAGTAAAACGAAGTAAAGAACACACAATTTATTCGTCACATGAATGTATATACATTCATTATTAAGAATTCTAAGAGACTTAAAAAAGTCTGCTGTGAGATTATTTGATCCTGTGAAACCAAAACACATCATAACCATATTCCTAACTTGCTAACTCATGAATCATCGTGTACAATTAGATCTCAAACCCATTGGTGATACCATTTGCCTACGCTTTCTTCGCTAACCGAGCATATAGATTGGGAGAATTTATACACTGTGGACGAACAATAAGAAGTTGGTGGAATGATCAAAGAATGTGGTTGTTCAAGAGAACAACAGCCTATCTCTTTGCCTTTTGCAGCAACATCTTGAGGATACTGGGGTTTGGGAAGTCAGCATTCGAGATCACTGCCAAGGTGGCCGATGAGGATGTGTCGAAAAGATACATGCAGGAGGTAATGGAGTTTGGTTCTTGTTCTGTGATGTTTGATGTGTTAGCAGCAATTGCAATGCTCAACATGTTGAGTTTCAGCATCGGTGCAAGTAGAGTAATCACGGAAGTAGTTGATCGTAGCCAAAAGGAAGTGACGGTGGAGATGTTTCCTCTCCAGATTCTCCTGTCTGGGATTTTGGTGGCTGTAAACTTTCCTGTGTATCAAGCGCTGTTCCTGAGAAAGGATAATGGCAGGCTGCCGATCTCTGCAACATACCATTCAATCTTTTTTGTTCTGCTGGTTTGCATTACATTCATGTATTAATTCGACTGTATTCACTTTTATATCTATGCGGTTAACTTACACGCATACATATGTATTACATATATATATATAGATCCTTCAGTTTTATGATATATCCTATTTATGAAATACTAGTTCTTCCAACTGAGCCATGCGCTTGCTGATTCATTTATATCTATTCTTTAGTTTTATGAAAACTAATATTTAGAATATAATTTTTTTTCAAAAATTTGTCTGACAAAGATTCAATTCATGTATTAATTAATCAAAATTATTTTCTGAATTATTTTTTAGAACATTTAAACATAATATAATAATTTTTTTTTGGTTAAAAAATAAAAAATAAATCTATAACGACTGTTAAATTTTGAAAACTAATATAGTACTTTACAATCATCGTGGAGACTGCAACGAGGACGGTTGAGAAAGGAAAGAAGAAGCCGACATGAAAACTCTGAAGAAGATCAGAGGTGTGGACTACCAGCTTGAGTTATACTGATATATTTATTCCAGCATTGTTATAAGAAGAACAAGCCCTCGAAAAGGAATGAACAAATTGCATAATAGTATGATGGTGATGGAATAGATTATAATTTCATAACGAAGAACGTTCCACCCTTGAAACTGGCCTGCAAAATGCAGAGTTTTTCAGTAACTTACTGCAAAATTCAAAGTGGTTGAACTTATCTACTAAGTTAAGATTATGAATTGGCATAAGTGTTCATCTGATATATGCTTCACTTGAGTCAGAGACCCGAGCTAAATTTCTATGACAATAAGCTTAAGAACTTAAAAAGCAGAGGATTTTGGAAGAGAGTTTACTAATTAAGTTCTTCCGAATTCTACGTAACAAAATTGTTTCTCTGATAATTTAGCATATGCCTTATCAAACGCAGAAGGCTTACATGAGCTCGAGAACGAGGGCAGATGCCCCTCCTCCCCCATTGCAGATACCAGCAACTCCGTACTTCCCGTTCTTATGGCTCAGTACCTGCGACAACATTGCATCTTCTCAAGAAACGAATAAAAAACATAAATCATATACAGGGTTGTGTAGATATATGCTAGTTACCCCTAACAACGTGACTAAGATACGAGCTCCACTACATCCTAATGGATGTCCCAAAGATACAGCTCCACCATGCACATTCACTTTTTCCTGAATTCATAACAAGAACAAATAACAGAATAAAGGGCTAAAGAACTTCAGTGAAATCAATCGGCGAAGAGCCCAAAGAGCAGTGAAACAACAAAAATGAACATTTAATAGCAGAGTGCATTGTCAAGCCAAATATAGGATACAGAGTTTAGTTAATGACATACAGGATTAAGGCCTAGCAACTTTTGATTGGCAAGAGCCACAACCTGCAGAAAAGATAAACCGCAGACTGAGAATCAACTACTTGATGAATAGGATAATGCAGTAAAAACTAAAGATTTCTTACAGAAAAGGCTTCATTTATTTCGTAATAATCAATTTGAGAACCATCAAGACTAGCATTTGAAATAGCTTTTGGTATTGCTAAGGCCGGGGCGGTTGGAAATAATTCAGGTGCCTGCCAAGGAAATATTGCTGAACACTCAGTTATCTGAATTCTGAAGCTCTACTAGGACCAAGAGAAATTTACACGGTATAATTTACACCTGAGCTGCATCAGCATATCCTCTGATTTTGCCAATAACTTGCAACCCAAGCTTAAGTGCTTTCTCCCCACTCACCATTACTAACGCTGCTGCACCATCACTGCCCGCAATAAAAGAATACTGTCACAAAAATGAAATAAAATTCCTATTCACATCAAATTTATGTAACAACGTTTCATAATGCGCATATGCCTTAAATGATAATCTTAGCCATAGTTTTTTCTTTAAAATTCCAAAGTGCTTCACTGGATAAGACTACTATATCTTTGAGAAATGTGCAATGCTCCCTTAAGAATGTCATTCCAGGTGTGAATTTATTATATCCTATGTATATATGAAAGATATAAGCCCACAGTCTTGCCAACAGCATTAGAAAGGCGCTGATCAATATAAAGATGAGATGATGTGCACAGTCATATTTCTAAGAGAAAGAAGACCTTATGCTAGAAGCATTGCCAGCTGTAACAGACCCACCATCCGGCTTAAAACTTGGTCTAAGCTTCTTCAACTTGGCAGCATCAAACTGAACAAGGTAGAAAGAACAAAGGCTAAAAGAAAGCAACAACCATGAAGAATTTGAAGTTAAAATTGATCAATAAAATTCATAGATATTCATTCACTAAGTCAACCTGCAGATGCATATTAATAGGGAATTCATATAAACATGGTTCATTAACTACCTAAAGAGACCGAGTACTATTTTAGGGCGGGGGAGTCTGGGCAGGGATGAGATTATTAAGAATCAGCCAGGCCGTAATGGTTCAAGTGCCCCGGTTTCTTCTCAAAGAAGCACGATTGACCTCTAAGAGCTCAACATGTCTTTCAATAAATTGCCGAAGGAGCAATAGGGTCAGTTTAATCTAAACAGGGGAAAGATACGGTCTGTCCGATGAGCTGACATGGATAAAAATCATTCCACCCATGAACCAAGAAAAGTAGAATTTAACTTAATCTTCTCCTGAATCTTTGTAGTAAGTTCAGAGGTCTACTGTTCTTTAAGTTTATCTATTCTAAGTTTATCTAAATTAATTAAACAATAGAATCCTAAGTTGCCTAAATGAGCCAGAGTAATAGAGTTCGAAGTGACCTACCGATACTGCTGATAAGCCATGAATAGATGAGGCTAATGAAATCCTATTATTTCAGATTTCCTTATATATATGACCCATTATGCATTCAATAAATCAGGATCTGAATAATTATTACTAGATTTGAGTGTTTTTCTAGATATCCAGGTTTCTACGAGTTATCATCATAGGTTGACAAGGCCTGAAATCTACCAAACTTGTAACTGAACCCCAGAGAGCTGAAACCATAACAGACTAATTTTTTCCTTGTGGTGATGGTGGTTGGGGGTGGGGGAGGATCTAGAATCTGCCTTGCACTCATCGTACAAGTCCCCCGCTTTATTCCGGATGAAGAAGGGATGCAACCAAAGAGATCAACCTGTCTTACCATAAAACCAGCTAGACAAGGGACTAAAGCACTTTTTTCTCTTTGGAGCAAAGATGTGCAACCCTCGTGCATTCGATATAACTATATTATCAAAAAGGTGTCCACTTGTTGTGGACTTCAAACCTCTTATCTAAACAGTTAAATATAGTAAAACACAAAATAATCGTTCAAAGGGAATAAGATTACATATTCATGTAGATAAGTATTGATAGAAAATTATATCACATTTACCTTCAGTAAACCTTCATCCTTGTCAACTACTATGAATGGTTTCCCTCTGCCCCTAGAAACTTCAACCTATAGTTGCCAAAATATGAACAATTTGATGCTAAACTGAAATGTTGAACTTTGTTTAATTATGAAGGAATCAGAAATCAAACCGGAACTATTTCCCAAGCAAAGAGACCCCCTTTTTGTGCAGCAATTCCACGCTCAAAGCTTCGAATAGCATACAAATCCTAGAAGAAAGCATAGGTTTAATAGACAAGTAATGACAAAATGTCAAGAAAATCAAGAAAGCCTTAACCACGTGAAGTCCATTTGTTGACATAATAGTAATATGTCAAAGAAAAGAGAAACACAAATTGGAATTCCCAATAGTTTGTGCATGCTTTCCAAAGTGAAATAATCATATGATAAGAAGTGCATAAGAGGACAAACAATAGCAAAAGCTTAAAACTTGCTTAGTAGAACTCTATATGAGAGTATCAGAAATGATAAGTATGAAAAAAGGTTGGCTGAAGTTGAACAAAAATATTACCTGCTCTTCTCTTGGTATCATATGTTGGTCAGCACATATTTCTGCACATATTCCCATTCCGAAGTCATTATATACATCCCACAAGCCATCTTTGAGCATCCCATCAATGATAGCATCATGACCTAGTCGAGATCCCTGTCTGCTTGCCAAATAAAGTCGGTGAATTTTTACAACGTAAGTATAAGCAGAAAAAAGAGATAACGTATACAGTCTTAAGACAACAAAATATATTTATGATGTTCCCTACCATAGCATTCACTACACTGAACTAGCAAGTAGTTGCAGTAAAATAGGATGACACACATGTTATAGTCCAAAAATTTCCATTCTGATCAGACAGCACGGGTGAATATATATAGTGGTGTTGGTTCTCGGTAGATGAGAATGAGTGGGATTATGTAACTTGGTAACTAAACCAACATACACAAACATCCTCATCAAATTGTTAGGCGATTGGAAGGACTAAGAAAGCTTGTCAAGGACAACAATCAGCCTCATGGATAGTAATGGAAGCATATTTAAAAGTCCTAAACAAAATTCTTTCTATCAGAAAAGAAAAGCAACACAGACCTTGCTTCTGCTAGATACTTGGGAGCATTTGACATGCTTTCCATGCCGCCAGCTACGACAACATCATTAATGCCCAATTGAATAGACTGTGCTGCTAGCATCACCGCTGTGTCAAGTTGATGGAAAACGTATAAGTACTCACTACATATCCCAATAAACTCCTAGAAGAAAATATACCATAATATCTTCAAATAAGAAAGCTACCTTTCATCCCTGATGCACAAACTTTGTTAACAGTGGTGCAGATTACTGAATTGGGTATACCTGCACCTAGTGCAGCCTGTCTAGCAGGAGCTTGCCCTAAATTTGCACTTAGAACATTCCCAAAGAAAACCTCTTGCACGAGTGATGGATCAAGGTTTGACCTTTTAAGAGCACCTGTAAATGGATAAAACAGAATAGTAGGGAAAAATCGTCCCAAGCAACAATAACTAAAAGGTATAAAGCAAACAATAGTAACTTAAAGAAATTACATTCAATTGCTATTGATCCTAGCTTCGTTGCAGAAAGAGAGGAAAGAGACCCAAGTAAGCCGCCCACGGGAGTACGTGCAACCCCAACAATACAAACATCTGTTCCATCAAAACACTGCAGGTAAGTGACAAGAAAGGCCAGACCATGAACTCTCTATATAATAACCAATATTTCTTTTATCATACAGGTAAAGAAACAAACAGATGAGATGATGCCCTGTGGCATCCAATACCCAGAAATGATCACATCACAAAGTACGTGAAGCAGGAATATGATGAATGAAAATGGCATGTACTAGCAGAAGAAGGAAGAGAAAATCGACCTCGAGGTTGGATAGGATCCGAAGAGACTGAAGAAGCCATGAGCAGTGTCTGTGAAAGATAATCAAGAAACCTGCAAAGTTAACATCTAACTTCGACTGTTAAAACCAGAGGAAATATATCAAGCCTCAGTAAATTCCAGATGAACTAGAAAAAATAACATCACCTGTTATTAAAGATCAGAGAAACAGAGTAGGGCGAGCGAAGGAGATGAGAGCTGGCTGGTTCTTGAGACGACAAAAATCTTTAAATCATGGATGAAAAATTGAAAGGGATGGTGACGTGAGAGCGAGAAAGGCAGCAGCTTTGGAAAGCACAACACGCATCTTCGTGTCATAGGATTAGGATTGCCTTAGCAGAGTTCTATTTTGGTTATGTAGTGTTTCCTGGGTAGACTGCATAAGCCGACTCCAGACATCCTGTAACGGGAGTTAGCCGGAAGCAAAAAACCACCTTTTCCTTGATTGTTCCACTGGATCAAATTAATGATTACATTTTTAATTAGAATGATCAGCACTGTATTTATGCTTATAGAAATTGAATCTGTTCATTTTGATTAAAAAGAAATTATTTGATTGAAAAGTATATTTTTTGAAAGAGGATTAGAGAATAAGAAAACAACCAAATTAACCAATACATCTTTAACAGAACAAAGAGATTTGCTAAAGTCAATAATTAAACAAACAATTAAAAAACCCAAAACACCCACAAAAGTTAAACTCAATTTCCACCCTCTCAGGAAGATTTCTTGCAAATTTTTAGAGAACACGAATTTATATGAAAATTTTACCCAAGAAAAATTTTTGGAGAGAACTAACACTTGCTCATATTAGAATGGATAAGATCTGTTCCTCTAGCCACTTTTTTTGACTCCCTTTTCGGATTTAGTAAACCCAACAATATTTGGTCATATCCAAACTCTTGTTGCTTCTTCTTCACAAAGGAATTAGAAGTGCTTTTCTTTCAATATGCCTCAAGACTTGTGAAGAATTTATTTAAGGAAACAGCATTGGCTTTTTCTTGTTTACCCAGAAGATGAAAGAATATATATCGGAGCCGTCACGAGTAAACAACCTTTTGAAATCCTCTTTATCATTCAAAATACGCCGAAACGCAATAAGTCTCTTGTTGCACATCCACTTTTGGCTATTTAACTTGGTCAGTTTGTTCACATATTCACAAAACAGCTCCACCAATGAAAGCGTTCTGCATATCTTATCCACATTAAGCACAAAAAGAAAAATGAGAGTCAGAACAAGTCATTGTTTCATTGCTCCCAAGATTCTGATCAAACAACAAGTCTAAAGGTGAGGTTGATTCGAGTTGTCTCTGCCTTGGCTCGCTTTGGCACAGAGTGGAGCCAATCCCGCTGTGTGTAACCTTTCATTACTAACAATGATCCGTGCTTTAGTGTGAAGGAGTGCTGATCATCCGAGTTGCTACTCTTCAATCTCTTGGTCGTAGGCTCTTCATTGGATACTTTCCCTAGCAGTAGCACAAAAGAAAATCATAAAAGATGTTAAGTGGCAGAATTTTTCTTCTGCTTGATTTTCTCATGTCAATACAAACTAAAATGATAGGCTGAACCATTAGAATATGGAATTAGCTTGCTGATACAAAACCATAAAACAAGATGGCATACGAAACAAGACTCATTGTAGGTTGATTTTCAAGATTACATGGTTCATATATCAACTTAGCAAAGACTACCACTTAACAAGATCAAGTATTTGGAGATAACAAGCTTGATCATGATCATACCTTGGGATGATTTTCTGGGTTTCTTCTTCAACAGAAATTCCCTTTCACATCCAAAAGAAACCGAAGCGATTTCTGGGGTTTGGTCCATAAAGCTTCTCATCATCAGCATGCCAAGCCACATAGTCATTGCCGCCTTTATACCTATTTAAAAGCAAACTGTTGAATTTACTTCCTGGAAGCACTTCATGGACCTAGAAGAAACAAAAGGCATTAGATGCCACTTGAATAGCTCATGTACTAGCGGTAATATTCAGGAATAATTATAGTCTCACTGCATCCAAAATCTCCTTGAGTGGAGGAAAATCATCCCAAGAATAAGCATGTGGTTGATATCCACTGTAAACCAACTCCGGCAATCCGGAGCTTGCAATGTAACATGTATCTCTAGGCTGCAGAGAAAGGATAAAGAGACAATTGAACACTCGTATTCAGCGAGAATATTGACATCTCAGACAAATTAACATGGAGATCGAGGTTGAAAAAGACAAGCATTGGCTCTAAATGCAGATTCTCCATACTCAATATGCATCCATAAAGTCCAGGCTTCAATTTGTACATCTTAACACAGTCATTAATCTAAAGTTTGAATTACTGATAAAGAATATATGAATAAATGTACGTCGCTTGATATGCTTTTGTTGATGCATTACCAGATAGATTATCAAAACCTAAATAGTTCATTCAAAGAAAACTTACATGGGCAACTAGATAGTTCATCTAATGCTAGTTTCACATGGGAATGATTGGCTGGAAATGATCGCCAAAGATGGAAAATTTGAATGGTAGGTATAACTCCTTTTCAGTGGAATAAAACCCAGAAGCTCCATTCAATTGTTAATGAAACGAAATAAGAATTTTTGAAGATATACAAAGTAAAGAACCAATATTCATTTTCTCAGCAACCAAACAGACTTCCTGATTACCAAAAAAATATTCAATTTTCAGCGAATTGCAATATACAATCAGAGAAAAGGAGGCATGGACTACGGACCTGGAGACAGGAGCGACCGAAGACGCGAATGGTAGGTCTGGTCCAACGAATATGCTTGTCGAGGTAATTGAAGAAACTCCATGATTGCTCGTACCCAAAGAAGCTCGGAAAATACACTACTTGGCTTCCGTTACCCAGGTCCTTAATCCTCTTCCCCTTTGCACCATCGTTAGGGTTAGGGTTTGGATTTGAGGTCTTTTCCTCTGGGACTGCCTTTAACTTCAAATTAATTGCAGCCATTTTTACGCGCCAAGCTAATGTCCCTCTTCCTTCTATTCTCATCTATGCTTATTTTTTTTCCATTGAATAAGAGCAATTAAGTGAAAATATAATTTTTTCATTATAATTTAAGAAGAAAGTTATCCAATTAGCAAATTCAACATTGTTACAATTATTTTTTTATATAATTTATCTTCAATATTTTTATTATTAAATGTTAAATTTATTTATTTATTTATTACAAAAAAAACTAAAATAATTAATTATTTAAATTAATAAATTAATAATAATTTAATTAAAATATCTAATATTGTGTTTGGATGATAAAATATTAATGTGCAGGTACGGTAATTCATTAGATTTGTTTTATTTGGATCACTTCAAAAATAAATAGTATTATTGATTGAGTAGTTTTTAGCGGTAAATTATTTTTTAAATTTTTCTAAATTTTTTAAACTACTGATTCAGTAAGTTTTAATGGTTAAATATTTTTTTTTCTCGTTTTACTCTCACAGTTATTTATTAATTTTTATTTTACCCTTAAATCCAAATTTTATTTTTTTTATATTGAGTATTGAAAAATTAAATTTTTATTTTTCATAATAAATTTATTTTTTAATGTTTTAAAAAAATTTATTAAAAATTAAAATTTATATAATATTACAAATTAAATGATTTTATTATAAATTAAATAAATTTTTTTATTTAATATTACGTACAAAGATAAATTAATATTTTAACTGAATATACAAATATACTATTTTATCAATTCAAACAAAACAGTTATCATTATTATACATTAATATACAATCTTTCTAAAAATGATATAATTTTGTAATTATCTTCTTATTTAATTATCAAATATTATCGTACATTAATTATCCAAAATAAAAATTAAACCAAACACAGCATAAACATCACCTAATTATTTTAAATTTTTCTATAAATAAAAGAATAAATATACATTTAAATCAAATGAAAAACTTTATGATAAAATTATAATGAAAAAACACATTAAAAATCAAATTTCATAAATTAATTTAATAATTTATCTATTTTAAGCCAGAACTTAAATCTTAAAAAGCATAAATCCAACAGTGCATCTTGAAAGAAATTCCCCCATCAGAATATGAGATTATAAATCAAAGCAGCACTCCAGGAGTAAATGAAACTTCAAAAGCATACATTCAAAGATAGTTTACTTCACAGGTTCAGCTTATACAATCATTTGAACAGACAAACAATCAAAGGTTATTACAATACCATCCATAAAAATTTACAGTTCCCACCGGAGGGGAAGTTTCCCGGAGTTGCATCTTATCGAACTTCATATGAGTTTCAAACCAACTAGGTTATTCCAACTCGCCAACCAGAACGAGAACCAATTTGGTAAACAGAAAGAGGATCATTCATCTATGTTTCGAAACTAGTTAGAGGACTATATATACCTAAGCTAATGGCTGAGCTTCTGTTCTGCACTAACTTGAAGGAGAAACAGGAGGATCAATTAACTTGAGCTTTAGTTCTATCTCCCCAGATTCAACTCCACCAAGCCTTAACCAAACACTCTGCACTACCTCGCCATTAATGGAGCTAATAAAGCTCTCCCTTGATAGACAGTTTTCACCGTCTGGTACAACCTTCCTTAGTGCCGTCTCCCCAGAAGAAACTCGAAGAACATGACTCAATCGACCAGCAGTGACAAGTGGCTGAAGGTTAATAAAAGCATGTCCCATTTTGTCATCTGCCTTGAAACGATCTTTATCAAATACTTCCTGTGAAAAAAGAAATTGAATATGACTGAGGATAAGCTACTAATTATTCTACCCACCAAATATATTCACAAGTAATCTTTAGAACATTCTAACTACTTCACCCATAATGTAACTGATATATAGATTTACAGCATGAGCCTTGCATCTATGAGGATATCAAAATCCTTATTCATCCTGGTGGACGAGCACAAGATAGAAACAGATAGGAGGATTAATACATGATCAAATAATTAACAAAGTGAATCAAGATATCAGCAGCGACAAGATCCAGAATACTAATAGAAGAATAACAATTTGCAACTAGATGAAAGCTGAATTAAGAAAAATGTTTAACGATAAACTATTCAGATTAAGAACTAATAAATTCCAATATCAACTTTCAACACAATTCATGGAGCTGAGTTGAAGAAAAATGTTCAACGATAAATTATCCAGATTAAGAACAGCTAAATTCTGACTTCAGGTTTTCACAAGATTCATGGATTCGGATAAAAGAAATGTCATAATGTTGAAAACAAATACGAATAATTGAAGCCTAAGAAACTTACTAGTGTAAGAGCCCCGACAGGTTCTCCGAGACTGAAACTTAGCTCTTCATTCCAGACAGGATTAAGGCAGCTGTTTATAACCTTGGTTTTCGCCATCTGGTGGGATGGAAGAAAATTATTAGTCTATAGAGTTTGCATCTCAAAATGATCATTTCTTTCTCGGTAATAACACATTGATAACGATTTAAGACTAGAAACACGTGCTTGAAGAAAGAGTAGTAGATTACTTGATTGCCTAACTTGACCACAACATAAGGATCGCTGGTTTTAAAATCCCGGATCACCAATCTTTTCCCTCGCACAACAATCACTTTCAGCAGTCCTAGTTGCTCCCCCATATTTGACCTGAAATTCAATGATGGATTAAGTAAGAAGAAGAGAATCCAATTCATTGTGTAAAAATCTCCCTAGCCAAGTGCAAATTCAACAAAAGCCTCCACCACAGCACAGATGATGTAATTAGATATCACAAAAAGGACATGATCAAACGAATAAACCCATTTCAAGAAAGAACATGTGTAAAGAGGGGTGACCAGGAAAGGGCACCAAAACACAAATATCCATGAAAATCAACATTCCTGAAGTCTGAGGGATAAGCCTAGAACTGTTTTAAGGTATGGTAATAACAACATAGCAAAGACGAAAGTGGAATTGATGATGTCTCCAGAATAAACCAAGATACAAAAACTCATCTCCAAAAAAAAAAAACTAAGATCTGCAAAAGAAAAGAAAAAAAAAGCTCAATTCTTGGGATGGTAGTGTAGAAAAGATGGAGAAAAGAGATACCCAGGTTAAAACTCTGGACTTCAAAGCCAACAAAGGAAATCTAAGAACTACCAACAAAACCTATGGAAGCACAGCCATCTACGAACACACATACAGAGAATCATATACTTACAAATACTGTAAGGTAAGTGGACCTTTCTAGAGTAAAGAATGAAGAATATATTAACAAGGCAACAACAAGGTGCCACTCAAAGAAGGAATAGATTAAAAGGACCTTACAGATCAGCTCTTGAGAAGAACTGGACGTAAGGAGAAAGAATTGATTTGCAGAGAAACAACGTTAAATGAAGTAGAAAAAATAAATAAATAAAGATGGGAACTCCATTTTAGCAATGAAGAATGACAATACCAGCATTTTATACAAAGATAGAGTACATCAAAAATGGAAGCAGAAAAACTTTAAACAAATCACTGAAAAAGTAACCGAGTGAAGCTACTTAAACTTACCCTATCCACACCATTTAAAGTCTCAAAGAAAATAAACCAGGATAGAACCCAGTTCTGTTTACTGAGAGAAAAAAAAAAAAAAAAAAAGAACTTACCGACAGGAAAGCTCGGCGTTTACGGTGTCTCAGAGCTGATGGAAGAAGACAGACAGCAGAAAATAGGGGATTGTAAATACAGGTCGCCCAGGCACGAGCTACAGTTGCAGACAAAGTCTTTTGATTTGGCTTTCGATTGGGGTTGGTTTGACTGTTGACCATACAAGATTCAAATGATAACAACTCGGTCCATTTCGGGAAGAAAGCTGTCTGCATTAATTGCGAGCATTCAATATTTTTCTACACTTTATTTTCAACAATTAATTTCTAAATTTTATAATCTAATAATTTTTTTTTTTGTTTTAATTAATTTCTAATAATATTTTCTCACTTTTTATGAATTTATTTTGGGGTGTTGGTAAAAAAAAAAGAAATAATAATAATTTATTTTCTGGGGTAATATTTGATATATTTTGTATTAAAAGAATTAATGGTCTCAAATTACTTTAAGAAAATTGAAACCCAAATTTTTATATTTTGATTAAGTTCATATATTAAAATTACTAATTACAATCTAATTAACCTTTTAACTCTAAATCACTTTTTTTTTTTTAATTTCTCTGCATCTCTTTACTGTTTGATTATATTTTAATTATCATATTTTAGTTATTAGTTATTACCATTAATTTGTAATAATATAATAATAAAAAATATATAAGTAAATAGCTGAATATATTATCTGATATTTTTATATTATTCTTAGCATATAATTAGTAGCCTTATTATATGTTAGATGTCACCTCATCCTAATCTTGAAATTAAACATACAAAATATGTTATTAATTGTTAAGTCACGACATTATCAGTAATATAAATTTTAAAAATTTCATAGATATGTTAAAACGATCGTAAATCTTAAACGGTACTCTTTTTTTTGGTACTTGTTAATAATACACACTATACTTTTTATCTCGGGGGAAAAAAAAAAAAAAAAAACTAGGATAGTGTTTCGAGATTAGAATTAAGCATAAGTAGAATGAAAGTTATCGCAATAAATACATAGTGTTCAAGATATAATCATCTTAATCACCTTTCCCAGTTCCAACTTATTTGAAAAACATCAAAGATAATTACAATTTTGCTTCTATCCCAATTCCAACCTTTGTTGATTTTTGAGGGTTTGATTATGTGCCCAAAAAAGTGAGAGAAGTAGAAAAGCTGAATCAGAACCCCAATTTGCTACTGTAAAACACAAACAAACAAGAAGGTGAATATTTAGCATCCAAATATTGAGAGGGAGAGAGTGAGAGAGCAGTGTAAAATTTGCAAACAAGGGAAACAAGTATCATTTTGGATGGATGTCAGGGGCTGAACGTGAATAAACTTACTTAAACTTAAAACACAAACTATCCTGAAATACAAACTATACATATTCTGGCTTTCTATCTATTTCTGCTTTCATGGCAGTTAGAAGGATGTAACACATCCCCCTGAATCATTACAACTATGAAATCTTACAATCTACAGCCAGTTACAGGTCATTTCATTTCAACGCACAAGCTTCATATTCCTCCTCTAATTTTCTAGGACTCCCCTCCTACAGATGTTATTTCTTACATTCTATATACTTATTAGTATGTGCACAATATCAATTTCCCATCATTCTCCTTCTTTTCTACCTCTTAAGGTACCTGTATCTGAAGCAGCACCGGTGCTTTCTGAATTTCCAGGGATCTGTAGTATAAAGGCCTAGACCCTATCTTACTCATTTTGAGCTTGACTTCATCGCTTTATGCTTCCACATGCTCTGCATTTGAAAAAAAAAAAAAGAAAAATCAAATCGATATTCAAAATGTAAACTACAACTGCTTATTAACATTCAGAAACTGAAAGCAAATCTCTCGTACAAGAGGCTCATCATCTGATATCTCGGCATTCCTGGCGTCATCAGCTATGGAAGACTCTCTATTTGATTTTTTCACATTTGTAGGTCTACTTCCAACCTCATTGTCTTCTTGATTCTGTTCAGAATCTGATTTGTCAACTTCATGGGCTTCTTCTTCTCTTGAGCCTTCACTTGATCCAGCTTCCTTCTCATTTAAGCTTTCGCTTGATTCAGCTTCTTTCTCATTTAAATCGGATTTTTCATTATCTCCAGATTTCTGAGCTTCCCCAGAAATGCTCTCATGTTTCTGTTCAGAATCTGATTTCTTTCCATCATCTGAACCCACATCACAATTCGGGCTCCCCGTTGCATCTTCCACACTTCTTTCCCTGGATGGGGACTTCACATTCTTGTCAGATTCCTCCCCGTCTGTTAAATTCTCATCCAGTTTATCAAGACGCTCCCATTCAGAGTCACCTGCCATATCACATATCAAAATTGGAGAAGGCCATACAGTAAACACTCCATCACACATACAAAAGAAAAATATACATCTCCAAAGTACGGTAGACAAACTGTTATAAAGTGCAAATACAAATAAGACAAAAACTTTGACAAAAATATTTGAGAAACCATACTTGGGTCAACTTTATAAGGCTTAGGGGCTGAAATTGATTTAGCATTTTTGACCCTCTCCTTGTTGTTCTCAGCTTCGCCGGAGTTAGTTTTTGGTGCACCTTTTTGTCCATGCTTTACATTCTTCTTCGGAGTTCTCTTCCCTTTGACACTAGAAACAAATAGAACTCAACTTATAAAACCTAAAGAGGTAAATTCCATGCCGCAAAAAGTGCAGTTCAGATGCAACATTTTACTCACATATTAAATTGGTCCTTAATCTGACAGGAAGCACCTAAACTCTTGGTTTTCTGTCCAGGTGACCTGTGAATAATTAAGATAAGCAACTATAAAAGGAGGAACTCCAAGATTATAACCAACAAGAAGACAACTACAAACAACTTTCAAGTCTAAAACAAGGCTATAAGACCATGATGTATGAAACAATTACTGTAGCAAGCTTTTTTTGAAAGCCAAAAGACATGGATTTCCATTCACAAAGATATACATACAAAAAGAATTCTCCATAGAACTGTGAAAAACATTATAAGCTTCAACTAGAACAATATATGAATAAACAATAGGACCATGACATGCTGACCCAGTATAGTAGAGAACTTTCTAAAAAAGCAAAAAACATGTATTTCCATTCACAAGGACCCACGGCACAAGGAGATGCTGCCTATACACATACAAAAGACTTGTTATAATGCTCTAGAAAACCTAGCATGCCTCAACTAGGATAATTTATGACCAAAGACAGCATCAAAAAGAAAACATACACTTCTGTATGAGAACCCTTCAATGAACTCAGCTTCTGCAAATGGTGCAATTGGAGAAAGAAAAAAATGAGGTTAGTTGCTACTTGATGATTTGATCAAAGCACCAAATGAGAGTCAGGAAAAACTGAAACTAGAGCACTTTTAACCTTCGTAGCCTTGCGACCATTGTCTATGAGCTCCCACCGCTCTCTTTCCAGTCGAAGCACTTCCACATCTCCATCATCATATAATACCTATTGACATGAACAAACAACAATATCATTAAGACAAATCATATTTGAGAAAAAGTGGTTACCAAGAAGTTCTAAAATAAGGAAGTGTGAACACATGTAGAGAGAGAAAAGGAGAGAGAAAGGGATAAGAAAACAGCTCACCACATGCTTCTTTTTTAGAGGATCATAAGACTTTACTGTCCCACTGTAAAACCTGTTGATTTTGTTCCTCAGAAGTCAACTTTTTGAATAATCATGTTCTGTCTAATCTTTCTGAAAGGTATATCCTGCATTCATGTTCTATAAAATAAAAGACTTACTGCTTATCCAAGGGCCACCAGATTTTTATTTTGTGACCGATCAAGTCATCAGTATTACTTTCATCTTCCTTAGTTGAACACTGAAGAAGAAAAACAATAAACCATAGGTTATAAAATTTTTATTAGAGGAGTTACAAATAATTATATATTCAAATAAAAAAGAATAGGAGGAGAATTGCAAACAGAGAAACTCAATCATTGAAGAAGAAACGTATTATCTATACTAGAATATTCTAAATAGAACAAGAAAATAGATGATAAGAGGACCATGGTTTATGTTAAAAAATTAGAGCAGAAAATGACAAAGTATTGAAAAATCGGTTAGAAATAGATGGATTTTTCACCTTTGCCAAACCAGATAAGCTTCGTCTTTTTCTTTTCTTTGCAGATCCAGTGGAAGACTTCAAACTACTATTTGTATTCTTGTTGTCGCTCTCTGTAAGCACACTAGACCTCTGCAAACAAGGTAGAAAAGCTTACCTTCATAATTCTAACAACCAAGTAATCAGAATACGAAAGCGAATTCTGGTCAGAAAGCTTACCTTCATATCATCATCATCAGCTTCTCCACTTTCAACTCCCTCATCATTCTGATGCCAACTAGAACCCTTGCCTTTATGTTTTGGCAAGAAGCTTTTGTTCTTCTGGAAGCTTGATACCAACAAATCTGAGCTAGTGCTCTCAGGCATTCCTTTCCTAACGGGTGTTTTGTCTTTCATATCAGGGAAAATGTCTTCATCCATATCACTTTCTTGATGGGAATCATCCCCTGGCGTTTTTGAAGTAAGCTTAGAAGTACTTTTTGAAATCTTGAAACTACTATGAGCAGATGATGATCTACGACGTTTAGGAACTTGAACAGATCCTGCGTCATTAACTTTTCTTTTTCCCCCTTTTTTATGCTCTCTGTCCATTTTTGGTTTCTTGTTTGGAGAAGGTCCATGGCCATTAGTTGATTCAAACTTGGGTATTTCCAAGTTATCCAAATTTATTTCCCTCACCATTTTCAAAATATCTACATCATTTCCAGCGTTCTCTGTTTCAGCTGGTAAAGATTTGTTCTTTTTCCCCTTTCCTGCCTTGGCTCCTTGAGATTTCAAACGCTTTAGCATCTTCCCCAGTGGTTCATTCCCATCCTTTTCGCTGTCTTTCAGGGTTTCATCCTCAGCAATTCCGGAATTAGCCTGAAACAGTAGTAATAGTCAGTGAAAGATGCAACATACGATCACATCACAACCACACAGCAGAAAGAATTCTTTGAGTAAGAGACATACTGATCCATCAGTTTCTAACTTCAGTGACTCAAAGTGAGCAAGGACACTCTCATCAGCCAGCCATGTTTGTCCTTCACTTGCCTAACCAAAGAATGCAATGGCATTAGATAGTCACAACATTGAACTGAGTAACCATCAAAGATTAAGAAATACTGAAGTTAAATGCTCTTGCCAACTCCAACAGGAAAAAAATTTATGAAGTGGTTTTCTCCTCTCTAAAAATAGCTTCCAGTATACATTTAATTAAACAAGAAAACTTTAAGCAGAAAAGCACTTACCACAGAGTCATCGCCTGCTTTATCCTCACATGGTTTGTACAGAGATGGGGGCAGAGAGACTGAAACACTCAGCCCTTTTAGCTCTTCGCCCTTCTGAGCCAAGCGTTTAATAATTGACAACCCAAGATCACATATAGCATGTGAATTCTGAGAATTAAAACAATTATATATATAAGCTTCGAGATTTGCAATTGGCTAGGGAACTCACAAGCTTTGTTTTTCATGCAATTATATTTGGTTTCTTCTTTTTTCCTTTTTGGTGTGTAAATTTCTACTATTCTGATAACCAAAATAATAGAAAAACAACTTTAAGTTACAGAAATTCCTTCCCAACCTTTGACTTTGTTGCATCAACTATGTCTTCTGAGACCTTGATACTTTGAAAGATGGAAACCATAGCAGAAATGCTCTCCTTCTCTTTCTTGTTATTAGCTTCAGACTTCACATCTTCATCTTTATTCACCAGAAGAGAAATAACAATGTACAACTGCCTGGAAATAAAATCAATAGAAATCATTCTAAGAATAAGGTAGGGAATATTTTAACCCACCCTTGAAGCCTGCAATCCTAATAGCCCACCGAGTTTATTAACATAACTAGTCATGTCCCTCAATAAAATTCACAAGATAGGAAAACACAAGAGACCAGCATGTATACCCATAGAACAGACAACAAAGCATGTTCACATGTTAGCAAACATATTGCTAACATGAAGCAAGTTCAACAACTGCAAATGCTTACAACAGAAAAAACCCGACTAACTGAAAGAAATTCTCTCATACTAATTAATGAGCATCTGAAATGAGAAATGACTTCGATCCAAAACATCACAAAGATTGCAACAGTAGATAGTTTATTTGTCTACTCTCTGTAGGAGACAATTATCATTTTTCGTATAAAATAGAAGATTTATTGAAAAGAGAATAGACACAACAAGGGAGGAGAAGATATCCTCCTAGAAGAAACAAAATTGATTGACAAACCGTAACTCCCAAAAAGAAGAAAAAAAACGTAAGCCTTTGCAAAAGCAAAAGCCCAGCATATCCCAAGGGAAGTCTGGAGACTAAGAATAGCAGTGAAAGACCCTAACGTTAAGATCCGACTTGAAAACCCAAAAACCAGCTGAAGATGCATCTCTGCATTAAAGCCTTATTATTGCATTTAGTTCAAGTTCATTTTTTCTCATTCTATTCTTAGACCTTAATTATTTGATATGTAGAACTTAATAACAATTTAGGTATGTGATGCATAATTAACCATTTCTAATCAAACTCTCAATTTCACAATGATGGATCTGAATGCCTATTTGTTAACAAATGAAGCACACCAATTTGATTTGTGCTTGGAATTAACTTGAAATTAGAAGGCTATTTTTAATCAAAATTTATTCTATTACTGTTTTATTCTTAGATCTTAGTTATTTTATATCAGAATTTAACAGATTTAATGCATAATTGATCCAACTGCACTCACACCTTTAATTCCACAATGATGAACTTGCATGTCCACTCGGTAACTTGATTTAGACATGGAATTAACTTGGAATTAGAATTCTATTTTACTCAAATTATTGTCTCTTTTATTACTCTCATTCCTGTTTTAAAAAATTGAAATTTGAAGAACTAAACCTATATTCCTGGCACTATTCCCTCCAATAAAGCAAAGAGATGACTCCATATCTGCCAAGCCACATAAAAAATGGAGGGGAAGGAGCTAATATCAGGCAAATATCATATTGCACTTCATGATTCCCAAGCAGAGGTCACCTCAGACAAGATAACTGTAGCACATCCCTAAGAATGTTAGCATGAGACCAATTAAATTCCACAAGACCCCCACCACCAAAAAAATGGGCGCAGTGATACAATGTTCACACACATAAAAAAATGCATATTTTAAGTTCAGAACCAATGCAGAAATATACCTGTATATTAGTTCATATGCCTTCACATCTTTGCACTTGTCTACATCAGGACATGACTGATGAGCAAGTGCATGAACCAGATATGAGAGAATGAGTTCAGGATATGTTATTGAGGGATTTGCTTCAGATTGTGTAGAGATTTGCCGTGCCTTTGCCTGCTGAAGCATTTGAATTATGTCAGCCAGATTCTGTTTTTCCTGCAATTTTGAGCCAACACAAAAGTTAACCCGAAAATTTTGCAGATACTACTACAACAGCAAATAGAATATACCCCTAACTTGAAGACAGAATAATTTCGAGAAATAATGTCTAATGATGACACCTCTTCTAACTCAAGAAGCTTTGATCCTGTAATGCTAAATAGGAAGGCACAAACATATTTTGCATCCAGAAGACGGTCCTTCACATACTGATGAACTTTTCCCAGAAACAGTTTCTTAGCCTGGGGAAAAGAAATCTACACGACCCAAAAATGGAAGTAAGAAAAGGAAAAGGAGAAGTAAAACACAGCAAATTTACTGTTTACGTCAACAAAAATATAATGCTAAAGAAATTCTTAAAATGGAAGCACCTCAGGTATTCTCAAAGTTAAATGAAATATATCAATGGGTATCTTATCATCCCAGTGCCTTGAAAGACGAAGAACCGCCTTTGCAGCAGCAAGCCTCAGATGGCTCTTATCGACTAAACTGTAAGTTAGAGAAAAAAAAACTTGTACATCAACTGCAGTAAGATAAAAAGCAAATGGACCTCATAAACAAGTAACATAATCCAAGATTATTAATCAAGCAAAATAAACTCACCTAGACTTTATTTCTTCTGATATTTCACCAAAAGAAAGCATGTTTTTAAGGATTTCCAGAAGGCCATCGATACTGGGGCGAAGATGAGCATCTTTAACAGGCAAGTAGCTCTTAACCAATGTCTTAATTCCATATATCTGCAATAAAAAAAATAATGCATAACAGTAAAAGAGATTATTCAAGATTTTAGAACCAGAAAATCAAAAGACTAAATTATCAAGTCAAATCCAAAGATAATTCCAGATGTCTTCCTTAACTTAAAACTTAAAATAAACAATCATAAAATTCAAGACTTCCCAAAATGACCAACCTTCAACAGACTGAGTTCAGTCCTGTCATCCCACGATGCATTCTCTTTGTCTTCAGTTTTCTGAGAAAATGAAGGGTGCTTAAACATAAGAACCTAATAAAGTCATAAATTGAAAATAACTGCAAAAACCAAACATAATAGGGAACAAATACATCATTTGTCCTCAGAATCTTGTCTTTAACGAATTCCACAATTTCACTTTCTCTAGTTTCAAAAACCGGCAATGCTGTCTGTGCTATGCAACCCAGAGATTGCAGCACAGATGGCAGATGTGTCTTCTCCTCCAGCATGTCCACAAGCCTCTGACAATTGAGCACAGAAAATGTCAGATTTTACGCATATTAATAACCTTGAGAGCTTACAAATAAAATGATCTGACCAATTGAATTACTAGTCATGCATGAAAAAGTAGCATAGAACCTTGTATAGAACAGAAAGAGACTTGAGCCCATCATCCTTTGTTATTGCAGCAAGGGCATGTACAGCATACTTAGCCTGCCTACGACTGCCTTCTAAACAGAGTCTCTCCAACATTAGGTCAATCGAACTGCAGGAATGAAAAATCAGAAAGATGAAAAGAACATAAACAAAGAACTATCTGCTGGAAGTCAAGAGAATTAAAAGTTTTCACCTTGATGACACAGCAAGCTGCTCTCGGATGGTACCACCAGCCTTTGCCAAAACATGCAAAGCCCCCTCTTTTATCATTTCATTATCATCCTTCAGAAAATTTACCAGTTCTTCTTCAGCCCCACCCAGCAGAGATGGACAGAAGCGTGCAAGTATCTGAATTAAAAAAGCCAAAAGAATTTTAGAAACATGATTTTGAACTGCTACATGTCAAAAGGAGAAAAAACAAGCTGCTACTTGATACAACTGGATGCTACAAGGCTACAATTTAGCAACTTTGCCCTATAGATTATGAATCAGGAATATTTTGATTCAAGATTAAACGTCTGATCACTTTAAACCATTTATATGCACAAATAATTGACCACCAACAGCATATTGCAGACAAATTTCAGAAACAAGCAAAGACAATGCCAAATAATGCAGAATGATTCTGGTTAAAAAGAATAAAAAAAGTGCCGGTACTATTTGTAATTACCACTAATATGTCTATGCAAGATAAAATATATTGTGTATTTCCAGCAGATTTTTGCACAGCAGCCTCCAGAAAAATCTCGTTCACATGCTCCTTGTTAAAAAGAAGATAAGAACACTTCACGGAGAGAGTTCCCAGAAAATCATAGAGCCGATGTTTCTCGCCAAGTATTTTAAGTAAATCATCCTGCAAAGATGTTGTAACAAGAAGAAAATTATTTATACAGAAAATAAATATTCAAATACCAAATCTTCTGCCAAAAGGATAATTTTTCACTGATATAATATGATTTATACAAGTAGAATTTGCATGATACTATTTATGGAAATATTATAGTGCTCACCCGACCAGCAGAAGCTTGATGGAAGCTAGTTTTTGGATCAAGCAAATTCATCAAAATCTTCCAGATATTAGCATCTTTCAACTGATCAAGAATCTGAAAATTCTCCTCAGCTTTTGCAGGCTCAGAAAATGAGCGCGACATAATTCGGAAGCAAAATAAGATCTTTTTCTGTATCTCAGGAGCATCACCTTCCTGCATTTGGATAACAACCAGCTTTTTTCATATAATATTCAACAGTTCAAATATTTTTATGCCTGGAAGAATAGATTAACTTCATAATGCTAACCTGATGCATCTGCCTGAGGGATAGATATCTCTGCATCTCCTGCTGTAACCTGCAATCCAAGAATATATATCCTGAAATCACTACAGAGTCAACCAAAGACAAATTTGAAGGGAGACGGTCTTTCAAAATCTTCTAAAACTGGCTGGTACCTTAAAAGCATCTATAACATACCTCTGCTTCTGCTCCAGTATCTTCTCAAGAGCCTTCACTTCAACCTTGTCAAATCCTGAGAAAACTCTTATCCAATGTTTAACTTTGTCTTTGATTGGGAAGTCACTTGGGAACAATGAACCATACAAAACAAATTCAATCGTATCTGATCTGCAGAAAAGATTAGCTTGTTTGAAACATATATATACATACATATGTACAAGAATGAAGATATCATGCTGCACCTTAATGCTAGCAAATACTTCTGGTTCTACTTTAAACCAAATTTTAATGTGTACCACCAAACACTTCAATTGAACCATCTATTAAGATTTTGCATTATTTGCATATCAAGAAAGAGGAAAGATTGCCTTACATTATTTACATAGATCAAGATAAAAAGAAAGAGAAAAGAAACTTGAGTCAAAAACAATGAAGATGATAGCTTATCCCATTCATCCAAGTTTTTTTAAAAAAAGAACATACCTAACAATCGATGATTGATGAGAAGTATATATCAGTACAACAAAATTAAAAACTGGCCTACCAGAGGGAATAGATTCATATTTTGCATTTCAAAAACTGAAGAGAGTAGTATCAAAGCATGTAACTATAGGTAAGGTATCAGAGAAAAGGCTATGGGATTACGGGAAGTTACACTGCTTGTGAGGAATGGTGTTATTAGTTTTTCAATTAGTGCTTAGTGCAATATACTAATATATCATGAAAAAGAACTTGTTTTCCCCCTTCTACCTATAATGAGACCCCTCAAATCAGCAAATGGCTCTCTCTGTGCTGGCAAAGGCATTATTTATATAATAGCAGCAATTTGCTTGGACCGGGGAAGGAAATATTACACTTTCTTCTGCATAAGAACCCAAATCCAAATAACTCATCAAATATGAAAACTTATAAACAAGTACTCAAAGTTTTTCCAAACCTTTTGGCTGCAATTAAAATGCAATAAAAATATGGACCAGAACCTAGAAAGCAGATAATGTTTTTCACAAGGTGGACATGGGTATTTTTGCTGGCAAAACCAAGTGTGACCCATAGCAGTCTCCAGTGAACTTAAAATGAAAGAATTATGGACAGTCAGAAGGTTCCAAACAGCATGCAAGAACTATGAACAGTCAGAAGACTCCATATGCCTCATATAAACTCATATAATTGTAGAGTATCAAGTAACAATGCAAAACATATCCTACCAACTGCACTTATGGATAAGTTTTATCAAGCAAGGACACCAGAAAACTTTTACAATCTTCTGCAGATATTTTTTAGATGGATACCAATGTCCTAGACTACAGATTTATGAAGCCAGAAATTAAAATGCATGAAGTCTTTAAGGTTGCAATTTTTCTATTCAAAAAATATAAAATCCATGAGCTATCAACAAGCCAAATACAAAATTGTTTAGATTTCCATTAAATAAATGTAAGGCAGATCTTCTATATTCCTTGATGCTTCTCACATCTTCATAGAGAAGCCAAAAAGAATAATAAAGAGGATTAAAAAATAAACTACATGAATGCCAGGTGAAACTTCTTACCTGAAATCTTTATCATAAAAACATCTCAAAATCTTCCCAGGAATCCAATCAAATTCGTTGCCACTGATTGAGCAATCAGAGCACCTCAGACAATAGACTCTGAACAACTCAGCCAGTCTCTCCATGGTATATTTTTTAACAAGTACCTAGAGTTTTGAACAGTAATCAACTAGGATATCCAGAAAAATAATTATTACATGCTTTAGAAACAAAGAGACACAGTATACGAGTAATTATACATACAGCTTTGTCTCGAAGACGTTCAGCAACTAGCTTTATGGCCTCAACTGGAACAGAAGCTAATGCATGAGAAGCCACATCACAAATTACAGCAACTACTTGCTTCCTTACATTTTCATCATAGTCCAGGAGCCGATCACAGAGGGCAGCTAGAAAGTGTTGCAAAAATAAATCAGCAGAAGAAACTAAACTTAAATTTCGGATCATGGAAAGAATTTAAAAATTAGAAAGAGAGGAAGCAAGCACAATAAGGAAGGATAAGGAATCCTCCTAGAAAATGAGAATGACAGTGAAATTAACTTACAAATTATTTGAGGAGCCTCAGGTCTGAGAGGATTAGAGAGTAGACAAGTCTTGACATGTTCAAGGACGGACATCCTAACCCCAACTACTCTATCGGTTAACCTTTTCAAAAACTCCAAAAAGATTGGCAGAAATACTTCAGATATAGCAGAGCCGGGCAAAGCAAATAACTCTCCAGCCAATCTCACCGCTTTCAAACGAGTGTCCAGCTGATCAGTCTGCAGATGTTGAAACAAATATATTGAGAGGTTAACCATCTCTGAAATGAAATATTGATCAAGCTGTTCTTATAATGAAACCTTTTGCAATCTACTGATCTTGTCATATTAAAATGTGCAAAAATAAAATGTGAATTAAATAGAACGCCGTGAGAAAAAAAAAAAACACATTAATTTCACCGACAACACCTAACCTAGACAATAAACTGAGGCACGCCAAGATGCAGCTCTATTTGTATAGAAAACAATCGATATTAGACACAAGAATTATCAAAAAGGAAACAACCCAGGTGCGAGTGCAGTTACTATGAGTACTAACAGCATATGCATAGAATGAACAAGGAAGAAGCTAATAAATGTGTAATTACCAACAGCTCCCCTGTGAGATATGGAACAACTCCTGCTAGGACCTGGGGAGCACACTGGTAAATATCATAGATAACTTCATGATAGTCTATTTGACAATTGGACAACTTGCTATCTCCTGATATTGATGCTATAAGAAACTGTTTTACTTTAGCTTCAAGCTTCCCGGCACACTGCTCTACAACACTCATAGCAAGCCTCCTTGCAGCCATACCATGTTCCTGTCATCATAAACTTCAGAAATCAGTAAACTTTTCAAAATCAATTTTTACAAAAGACTCGAATATTGAAGCAAGCTTGTTAAAGCTCAACAAGTAAACATCATCAACTGCATTATGTGAAAAAAGAAAGCACTTACACTTTTGTTACGACCTAATTTAGACAATATAAGAAGTAAAAGATCCTCACGGACATCCTCACTTTCTTCTAATAGAAGAGCCATGATCCGTTGCATAGACGACAGAACCCCTTCAGGATGATCATCTCTGTATTTGCGAAAAAATTCACAAAATTTAGTCGAAGAAAAGAAGAAAAACATTGATTGTATCTACCACACTATTCTCTGTTTCTTAATCAACCTTTCAATAGAACCTCCCAACAGAAAAGGTATGTCAGCAATCCAAACCTTTTGACCACCACACAGAATGAAAGAAATACCTCTACCACTTTAGACAGGAAAAGAAACCAACACATCAAGAAATAGAAAGAGAGGGTGTACTTAACCAAGACCAGCAGGTCCCGGAAAAAGATTACTGCTGTGAAACATAAGTTATAGAAAAATCATCTCTAAGAGTAAACAAAGAGGTACTGTCTAAGCATCTACTTCCTAGAAACTGATTAAAACATACCTTGCAACAGCAAAAAATGTAGTGAACATTTCATTCACCAGCTCATCACATTCAAGATCCAACATCACTACGCAAGACCTGTATTTTGCAACAGTCTCCAAAATGACAACTCTCCTTCCAAATGATGGCCCAGTGGTATCACTTAACCCATTGAAAGTGCCTACTATCAACCGAAATATATCCTGAGACAAACCAAAAGCATAAAGATGCTGAATTTCAGCATCATACATAAAAAATTGGATTAACTAAACTCCTTAACCAATCAACCTTCAGAAAGAAATGTACCTTTAAAACATCATCAGTGTAAGGAGCTTCAGGTGCAGTGATCCGAGTTATCTCACAAATACAGGTTGCAACTAGAAGCTTTACATCCCTATCTTGATGCCTTAGATATTCTGGCTTGACAATTGAATTAAATAAAGGATGTAAGGACTCCAGCACTGCAGCTGGTGGTGATTGGTCCAACTCAGAAAGACAAGTAGCAGCTTGCTGCAGGTTGAAAGAAAGGATTTGAAAACTATCAATAATAAACAGGTAAATTCCTTTAAAAAAAATATTCTAAATATAACTACTAATTGAGTCTACCAAAATATACAAGTATCCTGAAATTATATCATCCACCACCAAGAATTCACCACAATGTATTTAGGCACCATGACTCCAACTTCACCAATATATAATTAGTACAAAAAAGGGGGCCCAAGCCCGTTCGTCTTGGCAGAAGCATCTCTCCCATGTGAAGGATAAAATGTTGAGTTCAAGACACTTTAAAGCTAGCAAAAGAAATACAAAAAATGGCTGAACAGTCTAATGATTACCAAAATATGGACAAAATAAAGTGAACCCTTGAGTAGTCCTAATTTAAAGGGTATAAATGAAAGGAACAGTGTAGCTTTGTTTCCCTACCCCATCTTTCTTTTCTATTGTGCTGTTGTAGAAGGATACCTTATCCTCATGTTATACTATCTATTTCTAATAATAATTCTTCTCTTATCACAAAAAAGAAGAAAATATTCTGCACCTTAAGTGGCAGAAAAATTAATCCAAAGTCTAAAATGAAAAGGACGTTATGCACATGATGATTGGTTGAATGTCTATATTTAAAAACAATTGGTTATTCTGCTGTACATCTATATCATCAAGTACTGCAGTTATCATATAATTTGTGTCTCGTTTCTTTTTCAAGCTTGACATCATCAGAACCTCAAAAGCAAAGTGAAGTTTAACATCTTTCTTCCATGATCATATTCTTCCAGCTCCCATTATAGTTTAACAGGTGTGAAATTAAGAACCAGTCTTTCTGATAAAAAGACAAATCTATGCACACAAAAAAATCTCCTTTTGCCTCAAACAGCAAATACAATCAAGTAAGATCAATAACTCCATACAGGCTAGAAACTAGGGTTACCATCATGGTCAAACTCTAAATGACATAGAATGAGTTTAAGTCACTCAAGTGACATTCTTGACAGGTTTTCTCTGATGCAACCAAGCACCAGTTTGTGGAATTTTTGAGCAAGGCATGCAAAAAAAAAACATTTCTGTTTCAGGTACGCAAAGCAACTCCTTTACTGGCAGATCTATTCCCGCCATTGCAACTGTCTCACTTATAGCCTAATGTAAAATGAAAGATAACCTGCAAATATGATGCCTCAAAATTGCAATCTCCATTCATACTGACCAATTTACAACCCAACTTGATACAGACAAGAGTACCCCTTTTCAAGAACTGGACAGGAAGACCATCATACATGCGCACGAAGATGAAACGTTTGTACTAACTTCTGATCAAAATACACAAATCTACCACTTCAAGGAACATATATGGAGTCCTAGATTTTCTTGTTTAAGCAAAGGTGGATGCATATTCTTTCTGCCATAATAATACTGTCTCGCCTAGCTAAGATAGTCATTTAATCCTCAATAAAACAAAAGACTACAAGATGGCAGGACCCAGTCGTCAACAATGTCTCCTCCGTTTTACCTCAAATCCAAACACATATAGCAAACACCTGAAAAATTACTGTGCTTTCAACTGCTAATATTAGTAGAATAAGAAAATCGTATGAGAAACCCAAAAATCAAAACAAAATACATCAAGCAACCCCTAATTCCACCTAACGACTTGAGTCTTCAATCAAATTTGCAAGAACTGAATTTTGCAAAGACACTTCATTTGGTCTCAAAGGGAACAATACGAGACTCAAATTGTCAACCTTTTATAATTTCTCATTCGTACAAGCAGACAAACTTCCCATTAACTAACCCTAAAACAGCTCCCCCAACAAACTTAACGCGAGCAATTCTAGTTCTTAACCATCCAAACCCGCACGACACAGACACGGGCACCTCGAGTTTCCTCTCCACTCCATTCCCTCAAAACGAAATTTTTATCGGGTAAACAACAGAAAAGCATAACGAAGCTCAAAACTCCCTCCAAAAACAAAATCAAACTATTCAACGATAAATTGCAATGAGAAGCACAAATATCGAACAATTAAAGAAAACAATTAACAAATGCAAACCTTCAAGAGCTTGAGGAGAGCATCCTTAGAGGAAGGAGGGGTGTCGAGCTTCGATCCAACCTCTTTGAGTTGCTCTTCTAGCTTCTGTGCCATTTTGACTGATTACACAACGACGTCGTACTCTACCTCAGAACAACAGCAGCTTCCTCCCCGTCACATGGATTGGAAGGAAGAAGATGAAGGAAAATTTTTCTGAATGGTTTTGGTTCTCCCGTGCTCTCTCTCTCTCTCTCTCTCTCTCTCTGTGTTCTCGAACAAGACTGCGAGATGAGCTCAAAATGTAATGCAAGTGAAATTAAACAAGCCGCATGCTGACTTCAAATTTATATCTCATCACTACTAAATTTAACGTGTTTTTGCATCTATACCCTTCTTTTCTCTAAGCTTTAACCTTTTCGCCCCTGGTAAATTGTTATTTACTACTCAGTGCTCTGAAACTTTAAACAGTAGTTGCATGCACACACACACACACACATATATATACATATATATATACCAACTGGGAAAAACTTTTCCTGTTTACAAAATCATGCATCTTGTTTACCCATAATGCCATTTTTAGTAATTTTGGTAACAACATAACTTCTTAAATTCTAAAGTGAACTTTTAATTTAAAGTAAATATTTTATTTATGTTCGAAACGTATTTCGTACAATTTTACGAAAAAATAACGGTTTTGTGAGATACGATCTCTTTTTTTGTTGTTTTATATTATTAAAAAGTTAATTTTTTTTATAGAAAAAATAGTGAGATTCGTAATAATGTTATTTCTTAAGTTCTAAATAGAAGTTTTACCTTAAGTTATATCCGTATTTAAGAATTATAAGTTATTAATTTTTGAAAACAAATCAATATATATATATATAGTATAAGTATTTATTGAATTTAATAAAAAGAACTATTGAAATGATTGCTTTAAATTTATCTTAGCGAATGTTTATTCAACCTCATATGTTAAAGATCATAAATTTACTTAATATAAGATTTTAGAATTAAATTATTGTATGATCGGAAAAAATTTAATGTATGATAACATTAATGAATATATGTATATTATAAGAAACTAAATTAATGAAGTAGTCGAGTTTTAAATTTAAGATGAAGTAATACTCGAATATAGTTATTAATTTCATCGATGGAATTTCGTATCTATAAAATGAAATAAGAAATTATTAGGTTTGTAAAAAAATTAAAAGCGTTTAAAATTTTACGAACGAAAATAAAATTTTGTTTTTAGTAGAAGATTATAACGACTTATACTTGCTCCGAAACAAAATTTTACTTTGTTATATCTATTTATACTCATTAATATAGTTTATGCTTCGCTCATTTTTGGTTTCTTTAACTTTAATCTAAATATTATTGTACAATTATACATAATTAGTATCTTTAGATTATAAACACGTAATATAACACCCAAAATTTTATTATTATTTTAATGAATATTATTTTTTGTTTTATTTTAAATTTTTGTAAATTTTAAATGAAATAAATGATTACTTAAGTAATAATATATAGTTTTAATTTAATTTAATTTAATTTAATAGAAATAAAAATAATAATAATAATAATAATAGGTAAAATTATTTTTGGGGTTTAATTAAAAATAATTTTGAGAAAAATGGGTGAAAATTCGGATTCTATGGGTGTTTTCGAAAAAAAAACGGAAATCGGGAGTCAAAACGCAATTTAAAAAAAATTGTGTCAAGTCAGTAGCCCCGGCCAACCAGGACACGCCGCGTGGCAGAGACGTTGACGCAGGAGGCGACGCGGAACGGAGCCACGTAGGCGATCCGCGTGCGCGCGATCGGACGACTGAGATTCGTTCCCGCGCGCATGGACGGCCCAGATCAAACACGCGTGCGGACGGCCCAGATTGCACGCGTGCGGACGGCCCAGATTGCACGCGTGCGAACGGCTCAAATTGAATCACGCACGAACGGCCCAAATCGCATCGCGATAGACGGTCCAGATTAAATCGTGATGAATAGCTAAGATTAAAAGGAGAAAGTTATAAATAATCTCATCCACACCCAACCCCAAACCCTAGCCACCAGAGCCCTCGCCGGAGAAGACAGTCCAGCTACCGGAGGAACCGACCGCCGCCACCCGCCGCCGCACCGAAGCACTTTCCGACCGCCAAACGAGGTAAAGATTTTTCTTTTAGTTCAGATTTTGATGCTAAACCCGCTTGTGGCCAAATCGGAGCCAAACCACTAGCTAATTGGCCGAAAAATACCGCTGAAGTCCAGCGGCGCCGCCACGGGTTTCCTCGATTTTTGCCTCCGATGAGGCTCTTCCCGAGTCCTGTTCGATGTAATTTTTCCACCATTATGACTACCCTCCTTTCCTCTACAAGTTGACTGGAGCAAAAATACTAAATCGCGACTCGCGCCGGAGGAGCCGCCGCACCCGAGAGCTCCGCCGCCGGTAAGTCTCAATTTTTTGAGTTTTTTCGACCCACCGAGGGCCTTACGTGTGTTTTCTCGCAGGAACTGGTGTTAGTTTGGCTGAATTCAGCCAGAAACGACCAAAAACAGCCAACCCGAGGCGGATCACCGCTGCAGGTGGTGGCGCCATCGCTGGAGCACGGCGGAGCTGCTGTGCTGGAATTTCTAAAATTGGTCGAGTAGGCCCCGAGTCTGATTTGGAGTTTTTTGATTATATGTGCAAGTACCGGAAGTGTGTTTTAGTTCTCGAAAAAAAATTTAGGGAATCTAGTGACCGCCGGTAGGCACAGTGAAAAATCGGTCTTAGACTTCGAATCAAGTAAGGATCACTCACCCTATTTCCTATCACAGTATTAAAGCTTAATAAATGATAAAACGGTATTTTATGAATTAATAGATATGTATAATTAATTAAGGTTGCTAATGGAGCTCGGATCTGATATATTTTCGGTCAGTTGTTGTTTTAGTTATTTTACAGTTTTAAATGCATTATGGTATCTGATTTATTTATTCTATAATTTTGAATGCATGAATCACTGTTTACTTCATTATGGCTTGATTTTGTGAATCTGATGATATGCCTGCATTGTTGGATGCTCGTTACTGGTTTAAATATTCATGATCATGTGAGAAACAGAAAACTAAAAAAAGAATAGAAAATGTATGTGAATTGATAAATGGATAAGTCGACAGCCTCACTAGATATCTTGAGAGATGGTGGACGGACCGGGTCCATAGTAAACCCTACCGGGAACGTTGTCTCTCATACCGGATGGGGTATGGAGACTTTAAATATTTTGGCACTCATACCGAACGGGGTATGAGGACGACCTGCTTCACCCTCATACCGGACAGGGTACTGAGATTTATCATTTTGGCGTCCATATCGGAAGGGGTATGGGGACAGTCCTGAAATTAAGTTGTTAAAGTGAATGGTTCACGTGTAGCGGGGACCCCTATGGATCCCCATTGATACTGGTAGGCTGATAAAAAAGGAAATTTGTTGCCTGATGATTGAAATATTAAAAGTATAACATGTGTTATGTTATAGAGTGCGTATAATTTCATGATATTATAATGTTATTATTTTTATAAATTGTTTTTATGAATCTCATCGAGGTAAGTGGACAGTAAAGGGTTTTATCATTGATAAATGAATTTGTTATAAATTATGCTCCATTGGTCATTTTTATTTTCTACCAACCTTTACTTCTGTGACAATGAGATAGTGTGACGTCTTTACTGGGTTAGTGTAGCTCATTCCTTACTTAACCATTTCAGATCAGGAGGACTTGGTTCCCGAACCCGTTCCGCAGGAAGACGGCGAGTAGATGCCTAAAGATTTTATAGTTTTCCTTATAGTATTCATTTCTAGTATTTATTTTAGTTAGCTTATTCTTTCATACGTTTAATATGTTTTGGTTATTGTGTAAGGGATGTTAATCATAATATTTTATTTCGCTTCTGCACTTAGAATTTATATATATATATACTTTTTCTTTTCATTTCCGGGGTCGTTACAGTTGGTATCAGAGCCGCGTTCCTCGGACTCGTCCCTTACATAATAATACTTAGAAAAATACCAACCGATGAATCGTTACTCAACCCTTCCTTATAAAATGCAGATGTAGAGAGATGAGGAGAGGAAGACCCCTACTAAACTGAGCAGCCCGCGATGATTCGCTTCGGAAAGATGTGGACAAAATATTTGAGATACTAGAAAGGATCATTGCGGCCCAGCAAGGTCGAGAGGAGATAAGGGAGTTACCCGACCCTCCCCTATTACCACATGTTGAGCCACCGCTGCAGTGAGAGGATCCCGAGCTACCCCGGCACGAGCTTGCTCCTCCACAGTACCACCCGGCACAACCACCGCATTATAATCCGATGCCCCAGTCACAGTACTGCCCGACACCGCCACAGTATAATCCAGTGCCCCCACTATATCAGCAGGTGCCACCATAGAGCCCCCTAGTCTATCCTCAGCCCGGCCCAATCCCTCTTCCAGGGGACCCAGCTCCTTCCCTAGTTGACTCGGGCTACGTAGAGAGGTACAAGAGATTGAACCCTTCCACTTTTGTAGGAGAATCCTCTTTCGAAGATGTCCAGTACTGGTTGGAGGAGACATAGAAGACTTTCAAGACCTTAGGAGTGGTTCCCAAACAGAGGGTTACCCTTGTTTCCTACATGCTGGTGGGGGAAGCAGGTCGTTAGTGGGAGCTCAAGTAGACCACCCTGCCTACACCAGTCACTTGGGAGCAGTTCTTAGCAGCCTTTCATGCGGAGTACCTACCCCAGCACATCCGACATCTAAAGGAGATGGAGTTTGTCCAGCTGGTCCAGGGAAACATGTCGGTGTCAGAATATGCTCGTAAGTTCCTATAGCTGGGCCGATACTCCCGTAAGACATTGATAGATGAGGGCAGGAAGGCTAGGAGGTTCCAATGGGGCCTCCACCCAAAGATCAAGCAACACTTACTTATACTAGAGGTCAAGACATACTCAGCCGTTCTGGCAAAGGCGCAGATTATGGAGAGGAGTTTCAATACCCTTCCTCAGTCAGCAGAGAGTCACAGACCCTCAGCTCTACCTCACAGACCAGCACCTACTGCGCTTGCCCAACAAAATAAGAGACCCAGACCGATGACCCAAGCTCCCCATCAGGCTCTAAAGGCAGCACGTGGTAAGATCTGTCAGCACTGCGGTAGGGATCACGGGGACCGACTATGTTACCACCTCAACAACACCTGTCACATATGCGGTAGTGTCCAGCACTATGCAAGAGAGTGTCTAATGAAGCAGAATCAAGGAAGACCTCTTATTCAAGGCAGGGT